ATAGTGTTCAAGAGAGTGACCATATGCCTGATCACATAATTTACATTTAGTTTGATCATCATGTGTGTGTCTCCCAAACTGCCAGAAGTACTTGTAACCAAGCCTAAGCCTAGCCACTACAACAACAGTCAGTCTGTTCACATTGCAAGTTGCTCCATAAACATACTTATCTATGTTCATGTTATCATAGTGGGTTATACATCTACTCAGGCTTCTAACTGCATTCCTATAACAATCATTTTCATTATTTACTTCTCTCCTAACATTATTTCTAATGCTAGACACAGATATACCAAAGTCATATTCTGCATTCTCCTTCTGGGTACTCTTCTTGGCTAACATATCAACTTTATCATGAAGGAGTAATCCAATGTACACTAATTCCTTTGTCCCTGATTTTTGAGTATCTGTACCTGGCTTCTCCAATGAGCATGTTGTTGGAGTCATTATATGAGTTAAGAGCATTTAGTGATGACATAGAATCAGTAATGATGATAGAGTGTCATAGGTTAGCTTTAGCGCCATTAGGATTGCAAACAGTTCAGTTTGCAGTGTAGACGCCCAGTTGTTAATTCTTATGCCTAGTTCAACAAGTTTATTATCGTTCTTAACTAGGGAGGTGGCAACAAAAGGAGATGTAGCCCTGCCAGAAGACTCCTGTTTAGATAACTTGTGATAACTTATTACTTCCAGCTAGGCGAGAAATTTCTTCTTGAGCAGTTGCTTTAACAAGTGATTTAAGGAAAGGATTACTAGCAATGAGCTTCTTGGGAGGGGCTTGCAGGTATGTGATATTAAATGAACACATCTTCCATGGAGGGGTGAAATGCTCTTGTTGTCTACAGTGATACAGTTCATGCAGGTTATAAAACTTAATGCAATTGCACGTTTTCACAATCCATTTAGATCTGTGTGTATTTACTTTTAGACACTTAGTAAGGTTCATTGTGACAGTGTCTGGTTCATTTCTTAACATTCTAATACCGAGTATAGTGTTAATCTCAACAATCCTATCACTGATACTAGAAATACCTAGCTCCTTCCTCATATTAAGAACCTTTGTAGATTTGGGACAACCAAGAATAATTCTGAGAGCTTCATTTTGCATTAACTCCAAAGGTCGGAGAGAACTTTCTCTAGCTAATATCAACATGGGAGCAGCATAATCAATTAAGGACCTAACATAGGCTATGTACATCATTCTCACGATTCTCACATTAGCATCATAGTTGGGATTGTAGCCAGCAACAACTTTGAGAGCATTTAACCTATCTTTGCATTTCTTATTTAGTTGTGGTATAGTGGATTTGTTAAAGGGTACATCTACATCAAGATATCTGTAAGTTTAAACGTAGCTAATGCTTTCACCCTGCAAATAGATGGGTGGGGGATGTTGTTTGCTTGTTAATATCTTTGTTTTAGAGGAAGATATTATGAGGCCTAGTCGATTACAAATTGCCTGAACTTCATTAAGAATGGTATTCATCTTCTTATGCCCTGTTGTGTGGATCACGATGTCATCAGCATAGCTTACAGCTATATGTTTAGGTGAGGCAGGTAGAGCATTTAGGAGAGCATTAATCAGAATATTAAATAGCATGGGACTAAGAACTCCTCCCTGCGGTGTACCTAAAGACATTTCTTTAGACTCACTTCTAAATCCTTGATAAAGGACAGAGGATACTCTATTTGACAGGTATCCTATTATCCAGCAGAGTAAGCTACCACCAATATTCATTTTGGCTAGTTCATGTAGTATAATGGTTCTGTTTGCGATATCAAATGCAGATTTTAGATCAAGAAATGTGGTAAAACTAGTAGAGGTGTGTGCAGTGAGAAAGGTGGAAATACAGTTCTGCACACTTTTACCTTTCATGAACCCATAGAGGTAGGGGGAAAGTTGGTGTCTGATTCTGTAGTACAGTCTTTTAAGTATCATTCTTTCAAAAGTTTTACAAAGACAACTAGTTAAGGAGATCGGTCTAAATGTATCAGGCTGTTGGGGCTTAGGGATAGGCGCAATAAGACTATTGGTCCAGGAAGTAGGAAGAACGCCCTCAATGTAACTGAGATTATACAGTGCCAACATAGGGTTATCAGGCACTTGCCTTAGAGTTCTGAGAATATCATAGGTTATACCATCCTCTCCAGGAGTAGTTGATCGACCTTTAGTTAATGCATTATCTAATTCATACTCGGTGAAGAGGCAGTCACTCTCATCAACATTTTGGTTCATAAAATTAATCAGTTTCAACATTTCTTCAGAAGCACTCTCTAAATTTGTTTTAATATGAGATAGAAGGTTTTCATCCCTGGATGTTTTGGACCACTCATTTATGATATCATTTGCTTTTTCAAGAGGGAAGGGATGAGCAACATTGCCAGTCCTTTTCCTGGTTATTTTATTTATACCTTTCCAAGCTAAACTTAAAGGGGTGGACCTATTTAATCCACTAACAAATTGTTCCCATTCCCGTTGCCTAAGTTCTTGCTTTTTATTCCTTGCATTTGTTAGTGCAGCTTGGAACGTTCTGAGCAGGTCTGGGGTTCTACATTCATGGTATAACCTAGCTGCATAGTGGTAATGAGAGAGTGGGAGAGGTTTTATAAAAAAATTGCTGATAACAAGAAAGAGCCTTGGTGGGATAAATAAGATGAGAAAGTCTAGGGCACAAGTGAATTTAACAATTAAAACAAAGAGGCTAACCACTGGAAGAGGAGTTGGAGACATTGGGAAAGTAAGGTAATGTCCAGAGGAGCTGTTGAATGTTGATTAAGGCAGAAAAGCAGTGATTTCCTGCATTGGGCAGGGAGGTAAAATACCTTTTAGAAGTCAAGAGGAGCCAGATATGAGAATGGGGGAAGTACCTGAGACAGTGGTATATGAATGAAAGGGTGGAAGGTACTTGGGGGTTAACACAGTTCCTTTGTATAACAGAAAAGTGGATAAAAAAAAGTGTAAGAATAATATGAGGATAAGACCTTTGAGTATACATGGTCAACTGTGTGGTACAGAATTATGGGTAAGACAGAGAGAAGGACTGCAGCAGAACAAGGAGGCTTTAGGAAGGGTAGGGAGTGTGTAGACCAAGTGTTTATTTACACTGAGGCATATAAGTGAACCAAACTCGGATAACGGTAACGAACTTTTCATCGCATTTATGGATTTAGAAAAGAGATGATAGGGTGGATAGGGAAGGAATGTGATAGCTATTACACAGTAATCAATAGGTGGTAGGTTACTTAAAGAAGTAAAAATCATTTATGTGGATAACAAGGTTAAAGTTCGAGTAAGTAGGAGAGAAGTAAATTATTTTCCAGTAAAAGTAGGCCTTTGACAGGGATGTGTGATATATCCATAGCTGCTTAACATATTTATTGATGGGGTTGTAAAAGAAGTGAACGCTAGTGTGTTGGGGAGAGGTGTGAGATTGAAAGATGGTGAATTTAGTACGGAGTGGGAATGTCACAGTTACTTTTTGCCGATGACACGGTTCTTTTGGAAGATTCTGAAGAGAAGTTGCTAAGGTTAACAAACGAATTTGGGAGGTTATATGAAAGAATATAATTAAAAGCGAGATTTTCAAAAAATATATAGGCAATGAGATATCCAACAGGCTTGCTTGTGAGTGTTAGATAGGAGTGAGTGAAGGCAAGTGATTTGTATGATTTGAAGTGGTGTTGGAATGTGAAGGTAACATTTATGAAGGGATTCAGGGAAACCGGTTAATCAGATTTGAGTCTTTGGAGGTGAGAAGTGCAGTGCCTCTACTCAGAAGGAGGGGTGGAGATGTTGCAGTTTGGAGTGTCGTCTGAACTGTAATGGTCAGCGATTGATTGAATGGGTGACAGAGAAAGTGTTTTCTTCTTTATCGGGTCACGTTACCTCAGTGGGAGACAGCCGGAGTGTTAAAAAGAAACTGGTTAAAATTTATTTTTAACATCTCTTAAACATTTTGACATTCTTAAAAAAAGAGAGATTTGGACATGGTAAATTCGTAGAGCCTATCCTGTATGAAATCCTATGGTTGCTTGTCCATTTAAGTGTCTGGGTACCTGGCCAGACCAGGTTGAGTTGCTCAAACACAAAGTCGGGGTTAAGGGTGGAGGGAGAGTGGAAATAGTAGAGAGATCTATATAGATTCATAACGTGAACTTCAGTCCCGACAAAGACAGTTTGGTTGGTGGGGAAAGAAGGGATTGTAAAACATATGTGGAATATGATTTCCATTTTATTCCATTTTTTTTTGTTTACCGATTGCATTTATATATTTGTCCATTCGTTACAGTAACCATTCTTACAGTATTCATTACCTTTGTAACTTGTGAGTTCATTACCTTTGTAACTTGTGAGTTCATTACCTTGTACCTAGTTCAGCCATCAAAACTTTGGAGCCCGGTCCCTGGACCCATTGTGTACCTCTGTAATCTGTAAATACCTTTGTAACTTGTCATGATTGTGACTAGACCTACCTGGAGTTCATTACCTTTGTAAATTGTGAGTTCATTACCTTTGTAAATTGTGAATTCATTACCTCTGTAACTTGCTCAGCTATCAAAACTTTGAGGCCCAGTCCCTGGACCAATTATGTACCTCTGTAATCTTTTGACTACCGCCCACAGGATGGGTATGGGGTGCATAATAAACATATTAAACTAACTAACGTTACCTATCTGGTATGCTCATAATTTTTTAGTAAACATAAAAAAAGAAATGTTGATTTTTCCCCGATTTTGATTTTACAGGGTTTTTAAAGTTATTTTAAATAAAATTTATATGACCATTTGGTGAATGTGTGGAACCTCATTTATTTCGTAAATGTTAGTCAACAAATGCGGAATTTGCAGAATTTCATAACGAATCCGTATCTTTTACAATCCATACAGGGTTAGCTTTATGTTAATTCATGCTCTTTATCAAGCTCTGTCTTGGGTATAACGTCGAAATAAATGGTTTTCCTGCTACTAGTATCCACTTGAGGGCTTATGTAACTGTTTACCTGATTATTGGCCAATTTGCCACACCCCTAAAATGAATGTTGACATCAGGGCTGGTGATGGGAACAATGCGTACATGACCCACAAATGGTGGATGAGGAAGTAAATGTTTTAGTATTATTCGAGCACTTCCTGTTATCTGTAAAACAAAATTCAAGAAAATTATTTCTCAACCAAGTTTTGTTGTACAGAAAATAAATATCTGAAGGATAATCAAAAGAATCATTCTCATCCCTACCCAATCATTTACCTATTTAATGAGATGGACAGTTTCAGGAGAGGGATATGATGAAAGGTTCAAGACTGTAAATATGGCACAGTGTTCGAAATTCAACAAGGCCTTTGATAATTTCATACAAGAACTAGATTGATAAAAAGAGTAGAAGCAGATGGCTAACTGGTGGTATAGTTGACAGATAAACAACCGAGAATTTGCATGAATGGGAAGAAATAAGAATTGTGACCGATGACAAGTGGCATTCCACAATGATCATGGCTATATAGGGGAATACTGGTAATGGTGCCGATAGCACAAAAATAGGCTGAAAAATTGTGAAGACACCAGGAAGCTGCAGGATAGGGTAATATTGTTGTCATAAAATTGACAAATGCAGTTAATTGTGGACAACTGTGAGGCTTTAATACAAAAAAAGAGAGTTACTAGATCATTTATGAACTGAGTAATATAAAGCCTAATCCAATGAAATTTAAAAAAAGAATACTTGGAAGTTATAGCAAGTAGGAATTTGTTACCAGGGCAGAAAGGCATAAGCGCCTACAATACGTGAAGCTTATAGGCTTCTTGGTTTCATGTCATTAAATATTCTACAAGTAATAGAAATCTCAAGGTTAAATTACGACTCTACAATATATATTGTTGGCAAGGCATAATTTAATTTGCTACATACAATACTTTGGGCTTAAATAAATTAGATTCACTTATATTTAATAATCTACTGTACAACTATGATATAATTAATATTCTACTGTACAGCTATGACATAATTCTTAGTGTTAAGTAGTCTGTAAGCCAATAATGTTAAGTCGGCCCATAATGCATGAGCATAATAGAGGTTCTCTTTGCATTGCAACCCATTATTGTAAATACAAAATCTCAATGTACTATTTGCAAAAACAAATAAATAAATAAATAAATAAATAAATAAATAAAATTTTACAGAACAGACATAAGTACACTGGGAAACAGTGAAGGACAAAATTTATTCCTACTGTTTACGATTATTTTCTTTTATGTTCATGATTTTTTTTTTCAGATTTTTTCCTCCAACTTCAAATTTTGGAACCTTGTGCAAAGTTATTACATTGGATAGTGCAGGGAAAGAGGGTAGCAAGAGATTGAGGTAGAAAGGACTGAGGGGAGTGCTAGAGGCATCATCATCAGAGTTTGTGTAGTAAATCAATTGCTGTCAAAAAGTCAATGAGAGAGTCTAGGTTAAAGGAGGGTCCATCAGCAAGAAGGGAAGGTAAAGAAAGGTCAGCAGACTGGAGATGACGTTGGGGGTAAATTCCTTGGGCTCGTTGATAAAGTGAGCATTCCAACAGAATGTGGCTAACAGAAACTGGAACCTGACAATTCTCACAGAGAGGAACAGGGTGCCTCTCCATGATTATTATCATCATTATTATTATTGTTATTATTATTATTAATATTTATTATTATAATCAAAGAAAGCGCTAAACCACAAGGGTCATACAGTGCTGCGGGGAAGCAAATAGTGCGGAGGTTATAAACAGCTAGGTGGAGAGGGGATCTGAGCTGAGGGAAGAAATGGGTTGGAAGGGAAGCTAAGGGCTGTGTGTCAAAGCTCATATAATAAAGCAGTTGCCATCAAAAGTCAAAAAGGGATTGGGAGTCAAAGGAGGGGTCGTCTGCAAGTAGAGAAGATAAAGTAAGAGTGGAGGGCAGCGGCGTCATTGGAGGTAAATTCTGCTCGCTGCTAAACCGGGCAATCGACAAGAAAGTGAAGAACCGAAATAGGGACCTGACAAACCTCACAGAGAGGAATCGGGCATCTATCCATGAGATACCCATAGGTAAGGCGTGTATGACCAATGCGGAGCCGGGAGAACGGCAACGGTGGTATGAAGATGGCCACAGACCTAAAAGTGATTTAATAGAGCGCAGTTTGTTATGGCACATGCCCGACCAACGTTGTTGCCAACGTCTGCAGAGACAGGCCGAGATGACTGGAAAATAGTCCCTGAACAGAATACCTCTATAAGAAACCGGAAGAACATGCACCACTGACCGCACAGCAGTATCTGCTTGCTCATTACCCTGCACACCAACGTGTCCAGGGACCCAGCAGATAACGATATCTTTATTTTTGCTAGCCGCATGGCACAACCATTGTTGGATATGAAGGACTAATGGATGAGGGGAATCAAATTGTTTAATAGCTTGTAAAGCACTGAGGGAATCCGAAATGATCACAAACGTCGAAGAAGTGCTATGAGGATGGCATACAACTCAGCAGTAAAAATACTAGCTGAGTCTAACAAGTGGCCTTGGACAACTTCATCAGGGAATACTGCCGCGAACCCAACACCATCAGATGATTTAGAACCATCTGTATAAACATCAGTGGCATGAGCATGTCACCGGAAGTGCTCGAGAAAAAGAGAGCGAGTAGCAGGCATAGGTAAGAAACCTTCGACGCATGATAGTGGGGGAGAAAAGACATGAACCGTCGGAACTTCCCAAAGGGGAAGGGAAAAAGCAGACGCTGAATGAACATACAAGGAGGGTAACTGGAGAGAAGACCGGAGTGAATGAAGATGAAGAGAAAACGGTTGGGGTAGGCAGGGGCATCGAACAAATAGTGGGTTCCTACTAATGTCTGAGACTAACCTATACATAGAAGGAACGCGAATATCATGAGGGCGGATAAAATAACGAAGACAATGAACATCACGACGATCAGCTATGTAAGGAACATTTGGCTCTGCATAGAGGCTTTCAACAGCAGGGGATGAACGGAAGGCACCAAGGCATAAATGAAGACCTTGATGATGAATGGGATCTAACTTAGAAAGAGTTGCAGGAGAGACCGCAGAAGAGAATTGATCATAATCCAGCTTGGGCAAGACTAGAGTGGAATGCAAATGAAGGAGAGTATGGCGATCTGCTTCCCATGAACGATGCACGAAAACCTTAAGGAGATTCAGCCGACCGTGGCAAGTTGCCTGTAAAGAAGAAATGTGAGGTCTCCATGTCAACCGGCCATCAAAGAGCAGGCCAAGGAACTTGACAGTATCACATTCCGGAATACGTGAACCATGTAAGTGCAATGGAGTATCTGGGATAAGCAGACGTCTAGTGAAGGTAATGAAACGGGTTTTTGTACTACAAAATTTAAAGCCATGAGAAGTGGTCCAATGGGAAACTCGGTCAATCACATCCTGAAGGGAGGCTGCTACTAGGCGACAGTCTGAGCCTGAGTAAGCTCTAGCGAAGTCATCCACATAAAGTGACGACCAAATATGCGAAGGAAGAACGGAAGGTAGGCCATTTATAGCTAAGAGAAAAAGGGTAGTGCTAAGGACACAACCTTGTGGGACTCCCTCATCTTGTACAAAGTCTGAGGAAAGCGAGGTGCCAACACGGATACGAAAATGTTTGTTGGATAAGAAATCAGCAAGAAAGTTTGGTAGATTACTGTGGAGGCCTAAGGAGTGGGCTTGGGCTAGAATGTTATACCTCCAAGTTGTGTCATATGCCTTCTCTAGATCAAAAAAGACCAGCTAGGACAGAGTATTTGTTAGCAAAGACATTTTGAATATATGTATCTAAGTGGAGCAAGGGGTCTAAAGTAGAGAAACCCTTGCGAAAGCCATATTGGTGAGGGGAAAGACTATTATGAGTCTCAAAAACCACATCAGATGCCTATTTACCAATCATTCCATCACCTTGCAGATTATACTGGTGAAGGCAATGGTACGATAGTGGGAGGTATCAAGCCCCAAGTTGCCCGGTTTGCAAATGGCAGTACAATAGCAGATTTCCATTGTTGAGGGAGAACCCCTCGCTCCCAAATAAGATTGAAAATGCATAAAAGAACTGGAAGGGACGTAGAATGGAGATGTTGTAGCATACCGATATGGATATCAAGTCTTGTTGCCGATGGCTGGCAAACGGAAAGCGTGGACTCTGATTCTAGGAGAGTAAAAGGTATGTTATATGGCTCCATTCCATCAGTGGAGAAATCTAAGCCTTGGCAGGCTTAGTCGCAAGAAATGAGGGATAAAGGTGAAGCCCTTGAGAGATACGGACAAGATAGTTCCCGATTTCCGTGGCAACTTCTAAAGGTTCTGCAACATTAACTCCAGCAACCCACAGAAAGGGAGCTGGGTCCAGAGTGTACTTGCCAAACAACTTCTGCACCTTTTTCCAAATCACATACATAGGGAAGACGAGGTAATAGTAAACATGTAGTCTCGCCAACAAGTGCACTTAGCATCATGTATGACGCAGCAAGCCCTTGCCCTCTTAAAATCCAACAGACGCTCTGAGGTACGATTATATCAATAACAGCTGCATGTTTCAAACACACTGCATGAGTGCATGCAGGAGACCACCAAGGTATGCATGTCTGAGAGTGCCTACCTAAGGTTTGGGGGATAGAACGTGCTGCTGCAGTTAAAACTAAGGTCGACAATTGGTGTGCCAGTTCATCAATAGAGGACGAAAGGGGGTCCTCACAACAAGTGGTAAGATGAAAGTATAAGTCCCAATCTGCTCGTACAAATTGAAAATGAGGGTTATGAAGCGGTCGGGCATATGTAGTAGAAGTAAGAGGAATAGCAAAGTGATCACTGTCATGTAAATCTGGAAGAACAGACAAGGCAAAATCAAGTGCAACTGATGAGGAACAGATAGAAAGATCAATGCAGGAGAGAGATTGAGTGCAAGAGTCAAAATGGGTAGGAGTACCCATATTTAAAACATGAAGAGAATGAGAAGCGAGCAGTCTCCAACTGATCACCACGAGAGTCACAGTGGGCCCCTTTCCCCAACAAGATGGCGGTGGTAGAGAAGAAATTAAAAACGTGATATGTGAGATACAGAATGCATGGGAGGGAGAAAGATATAGAGAGCAAACTGTATACCACTTGTGT